CGCCTCGATCAAGTTACTAAGAGCCTGCTTACATTTTGCCTGTTGTAACAGTTCAGTGTCCCGTTTAATGAAATGGCGCACAATTAATTAGAGCTAATGTAGATGCGCTAACGGGTTAATCAAACCGAAAATCTGTAGCCGAACATTTAATAATATATTTTTACGGTGTTAGATTGCGGTAGCTGTCACGACGACACTATCGTACATCCAGTTTACGATGCATGCACGAAATGCGCGCGAAATTCGAATGACGAGTCGAAGTTGGTGTCTGTATCCAGTCAAATGAATTTTTGCCGGTTCTACGCGCAATCGATATATCTTTATAGCCTTAAATGTTCTGCACAACTTGTAGCTTAAGCACATCAGATTTAGCTCCCGATCGAGATCGGGGAAATCCTTGATATAAGTGCCAGTTTCGGGAAAGGTAGTTTTTACCTTAATCTTGAAAGCGTGGTCATAGTCAGGCACAGTCCCTCTGCAATATTCAATTAGGTAAATTTATTCGGTTGCCTGATGGAGGCCTTCTGGACATTTATTGGTATTCAATTCTGTATAGCTTTATTTCACATTTGGATTGCTTAAACATAAATGTATTTTATTTTAATGTTGGCTTTCTAACTTTGACCTGATTTAATCCATCTGTGATCATCAATCTGTGACAAAAATATCATCTACCTTAAATGCTGTCGAGTTACGTGCGCTTTCACGGTCACCCAGTTCTCCTCGCTGCGTGCAGAATCGTACGATGACCAATACATACATATATATTGGTCATTTAGTTGTCGTATAGTCTGCCGTTAGAAAGCCTGCTTGGCAAACTCTAGAAGCACCATCAAATTCTTCAACATGGACTTGTAGTGAGCAAACGATGCATACGATTGTTACTCTAGTGATCACAAAGCAATATCTCATTGTTGACCGAAATTAATTTCTCTTCAAACCACAAACCATTTCCAAAAATTAGCGCGAACCTATACATTTTTGTGGCACTTGAACAGCTGATCATGGACATCTGATTGTTTTAACTATCAGGTTTAGCCGCCATTTCGGACACGACAGAGCATAACCACCTTTCAGATTCTTATTAGATAGACATGATTAGATAGGTGTTGCTATTCTATATCCGCATTAGATAGATGTTAACGCTTTGTTAGGATATCCGCCACGTGTATTTCTACGGTTTCGTTTCCGTCTCAACTATAATGATATTAATAATAATAATAATAACTACTATTTTCTTCTAGCCTGTTCCGCTTCCCGGGGGGCGGCCCTCAAAGAAAGTTTCTATTGTATTTAATTTGAGAACAGCATTAGCTGTCAATTATTTGCATTACTCTCGACTCAAGTATCAGCAAACAAAGTCAGCATAGCGTTGCGATCCCCATAGCAGACGCCAGAAAGTCGGATCACACAGCCATGCACATATGAGAGTCTTTACGTATGTAGAATTCTATTGTATATAGGAGTCACTGTTATTTGCGACTGCTGTTCCGTTAATTTTTTTTTTTTCGCCGAACGCACAGCCCACAAACAAAAGCTCGGAACGTTCAATTGTATAGCTTGCTTTAGTAGATGGCAAGCTTTGCTTCTACTTGAGCTTGCTTAATATTGTAAGAAAACTCTTAAATAAGGCTATTATTGTTTCAGAGAATATCTTAAGTTAATTTATTAAATGTATGTTTTTTTTTTCTATGAACTGTAATATTGTTCATACTCTACACAAGAATTGTGTATAGTTGTGTTTATAAAAACGAAAGTTTTACAATCAAGTAGCGCTTTTCGCCTTGCCCTACTGGAAATTTCATTACGTACGCTTACACTTTGCCGCGCAGTTACGTAAAAATGATAACCGCAGTAAGAACAAAAGTCACATATAGAACATAAGCGATTAGTTATTTGCCTGCCTTTTTTTTATAGTGCTAAGCGTATGACAGAACACCGCGTCAAATATGTGCTTGTCAAGGGGCGCCAACCCTTCCTTTACCAAATCATCATTTACAGTATACGAACAGTGTTTTCACTCAAGAGAACGTCTAGCGAACGCCGAATCAACAATTCATTTGTATACCTATAAAAGCCCTAGATTTTTTCAGGCTCACCCTTCGTATTATTTGTACGCTCGAGCTAGCCATCAGCTTACAGTAAAACAAAATTAAGTACCAGTTCCATGTTGTCCTGTCGTGACCTAATATAAACTAGGCACGAATCGACTGCGCCTACCAAACAGATGAATTGTAAATTGATTAATTCGACAGCAGGTGAGACACTATTCGGTTCTTTCTTTTTTGCGAGTCACTGAAGTTATACACTGCTCTCTACTTCTCGATCCCGTTAGAATCGGCGCTTTCTCAAACCCCGAGTGAACGAGAACCCTGCGTAGTCCTTTCACCGGTCGCAGTCGCATGCTCCCCTTTGCACAGGGACACGTGGACTTACAAACACACAAACAGATAAATGGGACGGACATGAAATTTGTCCGCGTAAGATACCTAACTTCCCTGTGTTTTCAACTTTTTAAGTTTTCAAGCGCGTCAAACGCTTCGCTATTTAGCGCGGCGCTTGCGGCTTTGCGCACCGTAATTATCCATGCCAGCCAACGTCGCCAACGCTCGCTAACGGTAGACGGGCAGAGAAAGAGACAGTTCAGACAAACGCAAACAAACTGAAAAGGGCTAACGAGCATAGGCAGCATCAGTGATTTTGTTACAGGATCGCGTATACGAACTACGGAGACAATGGATTGATTTCCTCGTACCTCACTGAAGGTCTCTCTGTTTCCCCGCCTTTGTCTCCCAGTAGTCTAAGGTATGGGGCAACGGCGCTGTTAACCATTAACAACGAACGCGTTACTACGTAAGAGCTACTGGCCGTTCATACTAAATTCAATTTCACATTGGCTGGACGATACGTACAGAGACGTTGATGCTAGTGTTTGGCATGGATTATTGCGAGCGACGTGCTTGTTTGAGCGATCGATCGTACGTCCTTCAGACTGCCCCTCCATTCTGGATAGTGAGCGAGCGACAGGCTAGTCGTATAATACCTAATTTACTGGAAATGTGTTATCCAGTCCCGCTCTATTCACACTACTTATTCTTGTAGCATTTAGTTTGGTGATCTGCTATTGATAGCAATAGTAAATAACTGTTGCAACACCAGTTTATTCGGATCAGCCGGCCGGCTCCACTCAAGCACGATTAGTGGCTATTGTATTTCCAGTGGCAATGACAGCTGCGTCAGTGGGTCGTACGTATGCGTAACTGACGGCTAATCAACCTATGCAAGTAGTAGGCCAACAAAAACAACTAATAAAATTAATGCTGTTTATAGTGAAACAAAGCAACAAAAAATGGCGCGCGCTTATGAGGGTCGTCTGCTATTGCTAGAGCCGACGGTTATTGTCAGTCATGGAAATGCCATAGAGGGGCAACACGATACAGAACGTGTAAGTTGGACTGGGACAACAGCAAAGAAAGAGAAATCGAACGAGTCAAATAAAATGAGGAAGAATTGAGTCGGCGCAATTGTTTGGGGGCGTGAAGTTGCTTTTGAAGTGGCAGTAACGTACAGTAAAGTCGGGGTGAGTTCTACCCGATTCAAGCTGTTCGAAGAACGCAAACCCGATCCTTTTCCGTCACCCCTGTGTGTAGCCATACTTGGATGGTGAAAAACTGCACGATACTTGTCGTCACTGCGGCAGTACCGAAGTAGCGGTGAGGTACGGTGGGCCGGTAAGGCGCGGGTGGTCCGTCAAATCAGTCATGGTTTGAGGCGCAAATTCTGCGCTACCCTGCCATAAATGTGGCCCGCGCTGAAGTCGACAAGGAAATGATAGCCAATTCTGACGAATGCACAGATAGGGCGATTGTGACTGTTTTTTGGGCGCCTCGTATATGTCTAGCTTGACAACGGTATACATTCAATAGCATTAGATCGGCTAATACCACAACGGTACGACAGGAGTAATGCCAGTTATATGATTAAGAATGATACGCCACATGGGACCGATGGGGCAACTGCCCCATGATTGCCCTAGCCGACGGGGGAGGGGGGACAACAAACTATTGAATTGTCCCAAGGGCCAGCTGATTTTTTTCAAGGCACTATATAAATAAAAGATAAAAGTCGTCCGCGTTTTGTAAACGACTTCTATATTTGTTCGACTTCTATTGCAAAACACTAATGCTGCATAGTTCCTGTCAAGTAGTGAGAGAATTATGTGGGATGAGAAGTGACACGGAAAGATTGTTTCGTCCGATAGAGAATAAGAGGATTGTTTTAGACGGAAAAAATCGATTTAACTGAACTGGACGGGATCCACAAAAATTCTTTAACGATCATATTCCATTTAAATGTTAGTGTGATATATTTATATAATATGTAACTGGCTAGAATTCCCCTAGGAACAATGTAAAATGGCGGTAGATCCGCGTTAGTACAAATGCTGGCAGGTCATATTGACGCAAAACAGCCGGGCTTAATACATCGAACCAGGGCTCTTTTGATCTAACCAACTAATTTGCTAGAACGCACCACTCTTTTTTGAAGGGAAAAATTTTGTGGAACGAGAAATACTTCAAGAATATCTAACAGGAAAAGCTTGTTACGCTGATGGCTAGCTACTACGTGCTATATTTATTCTCACTTTAAATGGGCTTTCTAAAAAAGAAACAGAATACACATGCAGATAATTAAAGCCATGAATGAATCTTGCAAGCAAGAGCTTCTTTTTCTTATGTTTTTATTTTTTACGTTCGGTACGGCCTTGGTTAACGATTGCTTCAGATGACTGACTAGACAGGCGCGAAAATGAACTGTTTGTTAACTTAGGGTTTCGGGCGCAGGCTACGTCTCCAGGAGGCCATAGGTGTCTAATAGGTAAGCACATTAATATTTCGAACACCGCTATCTCTAGCTTGGAAATTGGGATCCAACCCAACTATAGTGTTTGCCCTTTGCTTGCGTAGGAAGCTTAGAACAATAAAAGATTTCCCGATTAGTTACAGGTAAGTCACACAATTTTGGGCGCACAAACTACGCTACGTACGTGCTGTGGGTAATCGAGCATTGCTGGGCACGTGAACGCTAGTCGGTCAGTATCGCTGATATGAATAAGAGTACGTTAGCTCTCCTCTTTGACCTCTCTTCATCCACGTTGAGCTCACACGGGCTGACGGCACGCTAAAAAACTAACTGCGTTGTTTATTACGTAAAAAAGCGAACATCAGTTTGCCGACGTCATGGCGCAGTGCTCGATCTATTCTACCAAAACAGATCACAAATCGTCTCAACGCCTGCTGGTACGTACACCCCACAGACGCACACACTCCATCCGACGGCAAAAAGGACTTGGAGGCGAGACAAGCTCAAGGGCAAAACCGTGTTAATCGAACGGGTAGCTGTTACATAGGCCAAGCATCGTATCGATTCGGAAACGCGAACAAAAGCATACCCGATCAAATGCTAGTAAAAAAACTAGATATAGTTGTAGAAATAGTGTTGGACACTTAAGGATAAAACAATTTACCGTCTAAATAGAGCGTAGCAATAAATGATAATAATAAATAAAGTTGTATGAATGAAATGATGGTGAGGCCGATCGAAGCGAGTCTTATTTGGGACCTGTTATTTTTGTTCGGCTACTTTACTCGCTGATGCTATTTAGATTCCAAAAAGGGTTTATTTTTTGCGAAAATTATCACTGGGTTAAAGTGATCAATGGAGAACATAGAAAACATTTTTTATACATAGGAAAACATTCTTTATATGGATCACGCTGTTTCCTATTGTACAGTGACTCAGACATTGAATCGTAATTATAACATATCTAGATCAGAGCGTATGAAAATAGATTTTACACTAAACACATACTTTATTTAATCGTTTAATTAGATGAAACCATTCTTTTTAAATGTGAAAAGTACATCTTCCGATGGGATGTACGATAAAGTGCGTCGAATACGATCTAGAAAAGCTTCAACGGGGTAGAAACGAACGAAAGCATACGCAGTTTAATTCTATTCTACCGCTTCGATCCGATAGATCTGAAAAAGTTGTTAATAGCACAGATCGTGCTCGTTGTATGTACATGCTGAGATAGGGTGATGTACAAGAGAATATAGCGGTTATACATAAGCTAATTAGTATATCAGAGGCAGCAATAGGTAGTTTAAGAAGGAAAAACGGCATCTTAAAAAAAGCATAGGTCGTACGAATGAAACCCGTGCCGAAAGGCTAGACAAGTTTCAGCCAAAAATACAATAAAACAATCGTAAACCAATGACTACTACTAAAATGTTTTCAAAATCAATATCTGGATATTGACAAAACAGTAAATTGGCTCGATCGCTGGCGCATTTGGCGGGCGTCAACTTTCTGTATCTTGCTCAGGTGCACGATGTAACCCTCCGTACGCGTTCGCTGTTTCGCCTGCTCGATTGCCCTTCGATATACGCCACTTTACAAGACGCTTAGTACTATACGCGGGTACCAAGTTAGTTTTTACTGAGTAACGCCGTCGCCGCTGTGGTTATAATTGTAATGCATTGGCTGTTACCTATTGCGCCATTGATACGGGTGCCGGCACGCTTCGATGTACATTCCTGTCTTAGCAGCTAACAGTAAACTACAACAATAGTCGGTTTTGTTTAGCAGAACAGGTTGCTTACGCCTAGCCCCACAAAGCATTATTCAGGCGCACGCCGTACGAGCACGTTATCTCGTGTGCTGTGACATCAGAGCGTACCCAATTCTCTCTCGAACAACTCTTCACATCGGTATCAGTAGCAAAGCAAGGTCGGAGTTAGGCTTTTAGGTATACCGAAAAATTCTTTATCGTTTTATACCGCCAGGACACATTTCGCCCGGTGTTTCAACTTGTCAGCGGTGTGACCACCTTATCGAATCGAGTCGCTCTTGCAGAAGCGGAGGTGTTTGCACGTCGCTAACTTTTTCTACGAATACCCCCCTCCCTCTCCCTCTCCCCCTCCCCCCACATCCATACACACAAAGACAGACGAGCAGTAAAAATGCACAGCAGAGCCCCCGAAGCGTCAGTCTTGTTTAGTAGCACAACCCGTGACGACTAGCGCAGGTGGTATATACTCCGTTTGTTGTCTCCATTACGGTCACTTCTGTTGTTTTGGCCTTTAACGCTGTCAGTATTCCGAACAGAAGATTGGACCTTGACTGAGTTTTCACGCTTTATACAAAAGCGGCCATTTACTGCCTGCTTGCCTTAAATTCTTAGCTATACGATCGTTGCGGCTTCGATTACCGCCTGGTGGCAATGGCTCTGATGCTGAGAATCACGATGTTATTGCTGCTGCTAGATCGCGCTTGCCAACTTCAAGTAGCCAAACAAGAAAGCGGCATCTACAAGGTGCCCACAGCGAAACAGGCACCACGGAATCACGGTGAATATATGAAGAAATACATAGGACCTTATATTGGTGTTGTGGCCACGTCGTTTTTGTCAGCAGCGTCGCCGCCACAACACCGTCACTGACATTGTCGATAGTCACCAGAAACCCCAGCAGCAGCAGCATCCCCCTGCTGTGGTACCTACGATTTGCTGCTAGTGCAGCGGGCAGAGCCGCAACACCCCTACCGCTTTCAGCTCTCACATCGTATTAGCTATTTTAGCTATCTAGCTGCTCAAGCGTTGTTCTGTTTGGTAGGAACAGACGCCATTTCTGTGATTGCCGCCGATGTTCACCATATATATGTGTGCGTCGACCTGTTTTATTGCGTTTGTTGTCGCCTACATTTGAGGATAGGGGCAAAGGCGAAACCTCTGTAGTCTATGCTATGCCAACGGACAACTAGTGGATAGACAAGAACTGACCGACTGGTAATCAACGCTCGATGAAGCGAAGTTCAACATGTCCACACGGTTGAATTTTCCAGCTCTGCACAAATCTATAAATACACGACGGTGATTAGCAGCAACCAGAGTTAACACGTTGACAATTACTAGCGACGATGATGGCCGTTATCGTTTTTACTGTTGTGATTGGCAATCACGTATCGAAAAAATAGTAGCGTACGTTTTTACTAACACATTGCAAACGGTGTTATATATTTGATACTAGAACTGCTTTCGGTTTCTCATGTCCGAGATAATAGATTATAATTATACTCGTTATAATGCTGTACAATATTATAAAGTCTGCAATGGGCAATAGACGACTTAAATAAATTTATTCATTTTCACCAAAGCGAGCTCAGGACATCTCCGCATAGGCTGAATGCTGAAATTCAATGAACGATTTAACGCCGTTAAGCTCCTAAGCGTACTATTACAAGTATTAGGACATATGTATACTAACACAAGATAAAAAAACAGTACTTCCTTTTTTATTTGGCTGAAACAAGATCTGCGTTCGGTTCGAATAAGGCCATTGATTTTTTAAATAGTAAATACAATTATATATGTTTAACATTCAGTTCAATAGGGTTTACTTTTTTGCCCTCTGTGCAAACGGGCGAATCTCACATCCGAACGACCTAAATATGAATCATCATTTCGAATCGTAGATGTGTCTGAGACCATTTTCAGCCAATAAGCGACGTTAACCTCTGCCATTAGGATCTACCTATTGTTTGTTAATATCAAACAGCTGAGTGTTTCAAGCCGATCGTGTCGCAGTACTATTTAATTAACGGTCGAACTTTTGAATTAATAACGTATCACATAGTTTAATTAGCGTAATTTATTGACACCTCACCAACGGCAATGGCCTAGGCATGATTTTGTAGGAACAATAGTAACAATGACGAATAAGAACCAAAAGGAATATATATTCCATTATACAGGATGGAGGACGACCAAGCTTTTATCCTAATATTTTCAAAGATTAACGTTGCCCTTTTTCGCCCCCGAAAACTCTCGCATCATGCGCCATCGATCTGTGCAAAGCACTAAATAACGCCGACACACGAAGTGACTACCATGCCTCTCGTTTATTTAGCTTTTCCCTTTGAATTAGCGAGTTTCACAGGCCACATCGGCTACAGTATTCACCTATACTGAACGCGGCCACCCGTTAATATTGTTCTATATAGAAATCCAAAGCACACCATCTTGCCTTGTGTTTTCTCTTTGCCCCTGCCGGTATACACCCAGGCGCACGTAGCGCCGCAGGTAATGTCGTGCATCTGAAACGTACATTGGCGTGGTTCGGCCTGGCCATCCTTCTCAGTCGTCTTGCTCATTCTGTTTTTGGTGGCGGGTCAGTCAAATCAACGTACGACAGATGTAAACGATGATGTTGGACGTTGCTACATCGAAAGCAGCCGGATCACTGGCATGCCTTAAGCTTGCCTTGACAACCAACTGATGTTAGCTAGAGAGACTGCTCTGCTGTTTGTCTTGCGTTTCTTGAGACCCCGACAACAACCGCCATGTCGACGATCCAGCTACCCTTGTGCGGGCGGCGGCCTTTTCAAATGAAAGAGTTGTTACAACAAACAACAACAAACTGTTGTTCGGGGGGGGGGGGGGGGGGTAGCCAACCAAACGCTGGCGTTCGCAAGCGAGTAAACCTTCGGCGGTCGCGGCTGCCTTGACGTCAGATTCTCTGCGACGATTCGTTTGCAGCCGAATGTCTTCCTGCGATTGGCCGATGTGCCGTTTGACCAGTGCTGGCGTTGGCACCGTAGCTATAGTAGCAGCCATTTCTGTTGTTCGACTTCGACTAGCAGTTGTTGCTGTCGCCGATATCCCAGGAGCGGCTCACTGGGCTGTTGGTGGCAACCTCATCGTCTAGGCACGGCTTACGAGGACAAAGCGCTTACCCACTTAGTCTAGACTGGCAATGTCACAGCAGATGGCTTGCCTCTATATACGTACACGCAGCGGTGGTAAGTGCAAAACGACTGGCCGCGTCTTGCCATCCCTGCCCAGAAGGGCGTTTGCGGCGTTTCCATCAATTGCTGCGCCTGTTGCTTGATTTGCTGCGTTTGTCGCCGACGAAGTCGACATCCATACCATGACCGTTCGAGC